GGGGGGGGTGTCACTGCCAGTTTTGTGCAGGTTTGGGTTGTGCCCCATGCACCGCCATTCTTTCCTAGTAGTGATGTGCACGGGCTCGGTGCAAACCAAGTTCACCCAAAATGGCAGACCCCTCTTCTCACCCCAATCAGCTGCGGCAGGGGCATCTACACGTAAAAAAAGGGCAGGCAATGCCCTGGGGGGGTCACTGACAGTTTTCTGCAGGTTTGGGTCAACCTAATTCACACCAAGCCCATGCACATCACTATTGTATAGACAAGAATGGCCTGTCTTGCTTCTGGAAAATCCCCCTGATATCCCAGGAGGCTGCAGGGACACACAGTGGATGGTGGGTGGACCTTATACGCTGAAGAGGCCGCTGGCTCCCAATGACTGAGGAGGACCAAGATGGTGGCATGGGACCCGGGTTGTGGCAGTGGATCTCAGCAGGTGAGTATGTGAATTGAGGACACCCCCTGCCTAACAGACAGGATTTGTAGATGGCAGACAGGACATGTAGTTTTTCGTTTACAGATCCTGCGAATAGATCCATCTGCACAGCTGTGACATATTAGAAAGTATACAGAAGCCTGCAGGGAGTAGCCCCCCACGATTCCACGAAAAGAGGTGAGCTGAGGGTGGGGGGCTACGGAATGGCTCCATGTTATACCTAAATATGGGTGTAACATGAAACTTGGTATGAAATATGGACTTGATGGCAGGTGTGAAAGCAGCCATGACAGATTATATGGTGGTTGGGTGTGTTACCCATGCGGACACAAATGCTGGGGTTTATGCATGACCCTCATTAAGGGCCCAGTCACACCATAGCCAGTGCGTTCCAGTGCGCTTTGAGCCTGGAACGCACTGGATCGTGTAGATCAAGCCGGGCAGCGTACTAAGGCGGGAGGGGGCATGTATGTGCCATTCATGATAATGTCACCGCAGACACGCCACCCACCCGCAGTGCGATTGCCTGCATCGGAACGCAAGGTACAGGAATTCCCGCCGTTCCGGTGCGGGCGGGGGGGCGTGTCTGTGGCGCCATTGAACTCAATGACACTGACCCGCCCCAGAATGCTGCTGGCTTGATCTATGTGTTCCAGACTTGAACCGCGCCGGAATGCACTGGCTATGGGGTAACTGGGCCCTAAAGGGTAATCCCAGTTTTCCACCACATGTGAGAAACTGAAATCACCCCACAAATTGATCCCCTCTGCCCCCCCACCATTCACACCTTTTGGGGGAACCACCATTCCGGCTGCAGCGGGGGGATTGATACCTCTGTCACCATAGCAATGGGGCTAGGTAGGAGTCATGTTGCCATGGCAATATAAGGCAGCAATCCAGTAGCCATGACAACATTGCTGATCCCTTAGTTGTAATGGCACATATCCCTTGGTTGCCATTGCAGTGGTAGTAATCCATCCATTGTCATGCCAACAGTGCCTCGACAAGTCCATTCATCTTCTTGTTAACTGAGGTGATTGTTCTGGTGCCAGTGGCAATGGTGCTGTGACTGTTCCATAAGTCATGATGGCATCAGGTTGAGCTCTTTATTGCTATGGCCATACTATAATGATTGGTCCCTCCGTCATGCATGGGAATGGAAACAATCTGTCGTCAGCATAGTGGGGCTGATTCCACCATTGCCATGGCAACAGCACAGAAACAAATCCTTCGCCTCTTCAGATCATTCAATTAAAATGACAGCAGTTCATATCCTCCTAACACAATGGTAACAGGGCCAGTTGCTCCATTGCATTGTAGCAAGGGGCGATCTTTGCAAAAACACTTGAACAAATTCTTCCAACCCCATGGCAATGGAATAATACCTCCAGTGGCAGTGCCATAGTTCCCATCATCACCACAGCAACAGGGCCAATCACTTTATCACGATGGTAAAGGAGATGTGACCAGGCCCTCAGGGGCAATGAGAGTGGGACCTATACCTCAATTTCCACAGCAAAGTGCTGAGCTATAAGTTGCCATAGCAAAGCCACTGTAACAGAATATGTTGCCATGGCAATGGAGTAGACATGTGCACCAGCAAAAAATTCGTTTAGTTTCGTTTCGTTTTGAAAAAAAAAAAAAAAATTGTTTAGTTTAGTTTCGTTTTGGAAAAAAAAAATTTGTTTAGTTTAGTTTCGTTTTGAAAAAAAAATTAAAAATTCGTTTAGTTTAGTTTCGTTTTTCGGGTTCGAAATTAAATTAGTTTCGGACGAAATTCGTTTATGAAAAAAAAAAAAACTTTGCTCTCCAATGGCTGGACTTGAACCAGCAAACTTCACAAAGGCAACTACTTGCAAGCCTGTACCTCTATCCACTACTCTATAGCCTCTGTACTTTAAGTATAGAAGCATTTGATATATAGCCTCAGGATGTCAAATGGGCGGAGCGAGCCGTGACTTAGGTCTGGTAGGAATGTTAGGAGAATGCCAATTCAAAAGCAAAGGAAAAAAAAAAAAACTTTAAATATTAGTTGACTTGGCCAGGATTTGAACCTAGGACGTTAGCAATGGGAACCCTTTGCTCTAACCTCTACACTATAGCCTCTGTACTCTAAGCATTGATGTGTTGCAGAGGTAAAATGGGGCATTCGGATTCGTTTGCATTCGTCTTAGCTGTAATTCGGAATTCGGATGCATCCGAATCTCCGAATTTCCGAAAATTCGTCCAAAACGAATTTCGGAACGAACCGAATCGCACATGTCTACAATGGAGCAGATCCTTCTTTAGCCATGGCAACATTATCGTAACTAATACCTCCACCTTTAGGGCAGTAAGACTAGTTCAGGGGTGGGCAACTCCAGCATTCTAATTGTGCTTTAACTACAAATCCAAACATGCCTCTGGGAGTCAGGCCTGCAACTGTCAGTCTTGCAATGCCTCATGGGACTTGTTCCACAACAGCTGGAAGGCCGCAGTTGCCAATCCCTGGGCTAGTCTATGGCACTGATCACTTTTTCAGCACAGCAGCAGAACCAGTCCCTTCATTGCCATGCCAACAGAGCCAGTGCCTTCGTCACTCTGGCAATGGCACAGACCCTTTCACCAACATAGTGATCTCCATGGCATCTCCATAGTTGGTCTCCATGGCAATAGCACAGTGACCGATCCCTTTGCTATGGCAGTAGGGCTAATCTTTCCATCACCATGGCAGTGATGCTAAGTCATATCCTTCAGTCTCCAAGGTAAAAAGTTAATTCTCCCATTGCCCTTGGCAAAAACATTTTGACCGATTCCTTCACCACTTTAGCAATTGAAACAATCCCTCCATCGCCTTATAAAAAGGGGGCCGGTCTCTTCATTGCCATTGCAGTGTCAAAGTTTCATTTGTCACTATTGCAGTAGGGTTAAACTTTTTGTTGCTCCACCAACAAAGGCCAATCTCTCCACTGCTACAGCAATGGGCAAATCCCTTAGTTGCCAAGACAACAGCACAGTGACTGATCCCATGGGTGCTATGCAGGCATGCCAAGCACTCCATCACTATGGCAACAATGCAGTGAGAGATCCCTGTGCCCATAGCATACCATGTTGATTTTTTTAGTTTCAATTGTGATGGGGCCAATCCAATTGTGAAGGGGTAACTGCTCATTTTGCCTAGGGGACCTGTTTAAATTACTCTTATGCGCCTGACCCCCAACTCTCGCTCGCTCCAAGACCAGCACCCGCAGCCATGCGGCAGTTGGAGCCCATAGCCCTGCTTTGTACGTGAAGGCACTGAGGGACAGTGCACAAGAAGGAATGGAAGGGAGAGAGGTGAGTGCCAGGGGCATACCGCGTCCGGCGTGTGCGTGATGACGTCACCGCGCACGCGCGTCCATCTCATTGGCTCCTGCTGGCGGCCATCTTGGTGATGGACATCGGCAGACAGAGGAGGGGACGTTTACCCGGCAGGATGAGGTATGCCGCCAGGTCCCCTTCTCTCCTGACACTGTCGGGTTCTCGGTCCATGACCAAATGCCTGACTTTTTAGAGTTTTCTGTGATTATTGATGATAATTTATTGTGATGTTCATGACCTGTGGCTGGACCTGAGATTATGTGGATGAGTTTAACATTGCCTAGCATGCATTTTGAATGTCAAATGGCGGATTCTGACGGACAATGACGTCCAAGGGTATGGGAGTGTTTTGTGATTCACGTATTGATTGGTATGTCTATTTAAATGACTATTTGTGGGCTTTCAAATGTCATCTCTGAGCCTGATGTTGTCTGGAATCCAACTCCATCCAGACCTGCGCCACCTCCTGCCCAATGCCATGCTGCCGAACTGTACGCATGATAGTAGTGGACTCTGATGTGAAAAGTGACTTTGATAAGAAAGGAGGGTGAGTTTGATATGAAAGCAGGGACTCTGATGCGAAAGGAGGGGGCTGTGATGTGAAGGGAGC